GGGGGGCCTCTCTTTTGAAGGAAAATTAACCACAATGACAAACTTAGTTATTCATGCAAACCATCAGCCTGTTATTCCTGATTATGCAGGATGCAAACTGTGAGTATCTGAGTGACTGAGGGCAGGCATCAAAGGCTCCATCCGGCAGTCCCGCCATCTCCGTACCCCCTTCTCAGCCCCGCTGTGGGCCTGTGGCCACCTCCTCTGACAGAGCCCGTTCCAGGAGCAGGGGGCCCTCCAACCCGTATTTTAAAGGATTAATTAACCTTGTGAGATTGGTGGGGAATGTTCCACCTGGCTATCTACTTCATGAAAGCATCAGCTCACCAGAGTATTTTAAGCTCACAGTGCAGACCATATGGTATTTCAAAGAACAGAAGTTGAAAGTACAGTACATATTTATTCTTTCCACAGAGAGCATTAAAGGGGTTGAAATATTTTATTAAAGCCTATATGTGCAGGCATGTGTGTGTGTGCATGCGCGCATCAAGCGGAAATATACTTGACACATAGAAAAAAATAAATTACACAGATTTATTTTCATCTCTCTGCCAGCCCACCCCATAGCAACAGTGAAAACTTGGTCTATGTAAACTTGAGAAAACAAGAAATATTTTATCAGGTCGTCTCAACTCATGGCCATTGCCAAGTTTTTCTTGCTGGAAACAAGAACAGCCTCTTTGGTGTCAGGCCTGCAGGCAGAAGGGAAGGTGTGGGGTCTAAGCCAGGAAGGGGCCAGGTCGCGTGGGCAGCCCCAAGCCAGCCCTCAGGAGGCAGGAAGTGCAAACCCAGGGCCAGCCTGCTCACCTGGAGGTACCTCATGTCTCTGAACAGCAATGCCCTTACCTGGGGCAGCGCTGATCTCGTAGGGCTCATGTGAGGATAAAACAGGGCAAGGGACGCCGGCAGCCCCGCCTTGAAGAGCCCTGGACCTGGAATTTGGAGAAAATCTTATTGTAGAAGTCTGTTGATTACATCCTTATCTAGCATGCCTTCTCTTGGGAACAGCTTAGCCTTTTCCTTGGGGAAGCACCCTTTCCATCTTTTGATCCAAGTGATTGGGGTGGGCTTAATCCATCCCTGGCTATAGGGGTGGCCACAGGCCATGGCTGGCCAATCAGAGCCCCCTAGTCTCACTGACTGGTTCAGGGATGGTCACATGACCCAAGACAGACCAATGAGGCTCAGGCCTGAGACTTTTGCTGGTATTACTGGGAAAGAGGCTCTCTTTTCCCAAAGGACTTGCCAGGCTGGGAGTTTGGAGCACACTGCCAACCCAGCCTTGGGCAAAAACCTACCAATAGAAGAGTCTAGGGTAGATATGGACTCTGTCCAAAGGACAACTCACCTCTCCTAAGCAGAGGCAGGAATTGAAATTCATAAAATTAATTAATTAAAGGAAAAAATAAGATGGAGCGAGCAAGCTGGTCAGGTTCAGCTGCCCAAGGATCTGACTGTCCTGTCTTAACAAAGCCACAGGCTTGATCCAATCTAGAAAGGAAAGCGCTTAACAATGCCAGACAGCCCCGCCCTTCCGCCCCTCAGGCTCGGCCTGCAGTCCCAAATCTCCCCTGAGGGGGCAGCAGTGAGTCAGTGGGACCTGGGACCTGGGACAGCAAGGGCCTCAGGAGCAGCGAGGAGGGGCTTACGGCTCTGGGCTCGCCACTCCCATTTTCACTGGAAGAGACTGTCAAGGAAACAGTTTATGGACTCAGAAATTCGTAAAAAGCACATAGCACAGGTGCCAAAACATGAATAGACTGAACTTTTTGGCCTCCCCTGCCACTGCCATTTTACAGATGAAATATCTGAGTGGCAGCAAGACAATAACTACGTGCCACCCAGCCTCCCCTACCCCATACGTGCCACCTTCAAGTCTTCCCCTCCACGTATGTCAGAGGGAAGATATTTTCTGGCCACAGGACGTAAATGGGAAGATGCAATTCTCTCTAATATTCGATAGCTGAGAACTGAACCTGCATTTTACGTGAAGACAGAAAAGCCAATCGAGTGAGTTCCAGGTTTTCTCAGACACTTGGTGCTTTGTTCGGTGATTTCAGGTTTAAGCTCAGTCAGTTTAGATTTTCTGCTCCACCCTCCTCTCCATCCGAGTGTCAGGGGCTAAGAGTCATGGCACTGACGCTGGCAGGAAGCGGGTTCTTCTCGGCCGCCCAGCGTCATGCCTCAGAGGTTCTGCTCTGGTCAGGGCCTCAGAACTGCTACCTGACCAAGCCCGCTGCAGGTAACAACCATCACGCCCAAATCTCTTGCCAACCCCAGAACCACACGTAGTGGGGCAGTCACCACATAGCCCAGCTAAAGCTAAAAACACTTAGCTGGGATTTCAGGTACCATCATCCACAGGGGAAAGAGAGTTTACAGTTTGTGTTCAACCAAGTGAATTACCTGCTTCAATAAAAATCGACATTTTCCAGAGGACTCTAACAAGTCCAGTCTCTGTGACATATCATCCCAATGGCCCGGACAGAATCCAAAGTTATCTAACAGATGAAGACACAGGAAAACATGGCCCAAGCCCTAGAAAAAAGATGATCAATGAACACCAAATAGAATGTGACCTTAGATGCTGGAATTAGCAGACAATCGTTTTAAGGTAGCTAGTATAAGGATGCAATGAACATAAAGCAAAATATGATTATAATAAATAAAAAAGATAAATATTCCCAGGAGATCAATAGAAAAATAAGAAACGACAACCACAACAAACTGCTGTGACCATCCTATGTGTGGAGAGAAACCGCTGGTTATTGTTCAGACATCTACACTTGGCATCAGCTGAGAAGGCCGTTTCTCCATCTCATCCAGGTAGCAGGCCATCCGATTCCCTCTCATCTTCCTCTTTCAGAACCAAGCCTATTATAAGTCCTCTTTTGAGAAACAACTTCCCCCTCCTTTGGGCACAGGAAAATGTGACTGAGACCCACAAAATCTGGGGCCAAAAGACACACACACACACACTCCATACCAATATCCATCCTGAACACTGAAGCAAAACCCATAACAAAATTTCAGCAAATCGAATCTAGACATACATAAAAATGAGCTTTACCTCAGGAATTCTAGGTATGTTTAAAATTCAAAAATCAATGGACTCATCATTAACATTGAATAAAGGAGAAATACCACATGATTATCCCAGTGGAGGCTGGGAACACATTTTAAAAATTCAATATCTCTTCTTATTTTTAAAAGAAAAGAGATTCAACAAACAAGAGCTAGAAGGGAAGTTCCTCAACCTGATAAAAGCATCTTTGACAAGCCTCAGTCTAACATCATCCTCAATGGGGAAGAATGAATGTTCCCCTTCTGAGGTCAGGAAAAAGGCAGAGGGGCCCCTCACTGCCTATATCCAATGCTGTACTGGACATCCTGAGCAATGAAACAAGCCTGGGGAAAAAACAAAAGGCACACAAATTGCAAAGGAAGCCCTCAAGCTAGCTTTATTTGCAGAACGCATGATTGTCTATGTAAAAAAATCCCTAAGAATTTAAAAAAAAAATTAGAAACTGTCATTTTATAATCAATACTATTTAAAATGGCATTAAAAATGAAATACTTAGGGATGAATCTGACCAAATATGTCTAAGGTTTGCATGCCGACGTATGTAAAGCCTTGTTGAAAGAAACTAAGGAACACCCGAGTAAAAGGAGATAGACATGTGCTCATGGATTGGAAGACTCGATACCGTTAAGATATCGGTTCTTCTCGAATCGACCTGTATAGATTCAATGCAATCCCAATTTATATGCCAGTGGGCTTTTTGTGTAACAAGCTGATTTGAAATTTTATATAGAAATGCAAAAGACTTAAAATGGCTACAGCAACTGGAAAAGAAAAAGATCGATTTGAGGAGTTTCACTACCTGATTTCACGATTTCAGCTATAGTTGTCAAGAGAGTACGTATTGGTGCATGGATGAGAGCTGTCAGGGCTGTGGGCAGGGGAGAGGGGTTACCTGGCCACCTCCCACAGAAGCTGCCCCAAAGCGTCCAGAGCTAGGCAGCATCCAAAATCATCCTGCTTCAAAGCACCACCCCACGGCTGAGCAGGGGTAGGGACCTGAATGACCAGGCCCTGACCGATGACTTCGTGTGACATTTATGAGGGGCAGTCCCTGGCTCCGAGCTTCTCCTGAAAGGTGTCCAGACTGCTGTCTGGTGATCAGAAAAGTGTGTGAAGACCCCCAAAGAACGGGAGTCCCCATTTATCCATGCTGCTTGGGGGAGAGGGAGAGAGACAGAGAGAAAGAGAGAGACAGGGATGGAGGGAGAGAGGGAGGGAGGAAGGGAGGGAGGAAGGGAGGGAGATCCTCTGGCTAACGATCTTAACTGGGGCTTATTTTGGGGTAGGGCTATATCATCAACACCCTGAAAATCATGCTAGGGCTTGTTTTCCAGTTAGGTCTTATTTTCGGGAAACACTGTACCACCAGACCTGCTGAGCTGTGTCACTTCGCTGGGGTGACGCGGCACCTCATCGCTTACCTTTACCTTTGTCAGGTCACCAGTGAGCATGAGCCGCAGCCATTCTGATTTCTCCTTCCAGGAGTGGCTTCTACATATTCTTTGCCCATTATTATTTTTGTAATTAGGTTTCCTTTCCTTTCTGGATCGATTTTCAGGAGTTATTTGATAATCCTAGTTACAGACTTCTGTTGGTTTAAGACATGGAGAATATCCTCTCCCAGCTTATCACCTAATATGTTCATTCCGTCTAGAGCAGCGGTTCTCAACCTTCCTAATGCCGTGACCCCTGAATACAGTTCCTCATGTTGTGGTGACCCCCAACCATAGAATTATTTTCGTTGCTACTCTATAACTGTAATTTTGCTACTGTTATGAATCATGATGTAAATATCTTTTTGTTTTCCGATGGTCTTAGGCAACCCCTGTGAAAGGGTCGTTCGACCCCCAAAGGGGTCGCGACCCCCAGGTTGAGAACCGCTGGTCTAGAGTAAAGCAACATCTTCATTTGGGTGCAGCCAAATCCATTGTTTTCCTTCTTGTGGATTAAGCTTTGGAGGTCATAATAAATTCTTTCCTCTCACAGATATATTATCCTGCATTCTAATTTATCAGCTATGTTTTTTTAACCTTTAATAATTAGGTATTTGAGCTATTTGGAGTTGATGTATATGGTATGAGGTAGGGATCCAATTTTATTTTTTTCTCTATTATAGAAAGTAAATATTCCCAATGCCATTTACTAACTAATCTAGCCTTTCTCTGGTCACTTGTTATTTTATCTCTCTCACATAACAAGTTAACCATATCTGTACTAATATCACATTAAGTATTATGGTTTTCTAATCTACTTTAATGCCAGTAGAGCAAGACCTTCCATTTGTTCTTTTTCAAAATTGTCTTAACAGGTCGAAGACTTTTATTCTTCCACATACATTGCAGAATCAGTTTCCCAAGTTCCAAAACAATTGGACTGGCATTTTTACAGGAATTCCATTGAACTAGAGAGAGCATTTAATGGAGAATTCATTCTTTCAAGCTAAGATGTTTTCCCATTATTTATGTGTGTATTCAGGTCTTTTTAAAAAAATTTATATTTTTGAGTTTTAGATTTACCTCCTTAAAGAGCGTGTGCATTTTTCATTAGGTTAATGCCTACATATTTCAATATCACGCAGAATATCTTATTTTCATTACATTTTCAAGAAATGTATTGTTATTGCAGGGGGACACTTTATGGACTCTCTATTCTGATCTTATATGAGCTACCCTCGTTCAACTCTTTTGTTAGGTTAATTTGTCTATTGATTCTCTTGTTTCCTATGACGTTCATTTGACAATAATCGTATGGCCTTTTTGCTTCCAATCCTTATACTCGCTCAGTTTTCTCACGTTGCCTTGCTAGGACTGCCAAGTACCATGTTGAATAGTGGCAGGGCCAGGGAGCGTCCCTGCCTTCTTTCTGACTTTTAGAAAGGATGAAGAGGTTTGGGTTTTAGCCGAGTGCTTAAAGCAGGTGCATGCAATTATTCTAAGTTCGCTCTTGAGGACGATTCTGGGGTTGCCCATGAAGGCTCGATTGGGGAGAGTGAGGCAGGACCAGGGCTCCCCTGGGAACAGCGGCAGTCAGCCAGGCGAAGGAGACGTGGCCCCAGCCGGGGCTTCGGAGACGAGGGCAGCAGGCAGACGGGGTTCCGGGGAGCATCGGATTCGGGCGTGAGGCGTCAAGGCTGAGGCCCTGTGTGGGCGATGGTGACGCCGTTCGCTGAGGGGGACATCGGGGGAGACACCGATGTGGGGAAGGGAGGCGGGTTCCGCTTCAGACACGTTTGCGGCGTCCAGCGAGGGCTCTACAACAGCAGGCGTCTGGATGGAAGGGCGAGGAGCTCGGCACAGGGGTCTGCGCCCGGGGACCAGGGTCTGGGGGTGCGGAGTCCTGCGCGGGGTCGGTGGGTGTCGCACAGCACCGAGGACGGTGCCCGGCACCTCGGGCTCGCTGCCGTCAGGACTCTCCGCACAGCGTGACATGAAAACGAGGGCGTGGACGAGGGCTCCGGGGCCACGCCCCGGGCGACACCAAGCCGCGGGCGCAGGAGGCCGAGGACGGCCGGCAAGTGGGAAGGGCAGGCCCAGCGGGTCGAGGGGACGGGTGCCGGGAAGGAGGAGGGGCCCCGCCGAGACGGCCGGAGTTTGGGAGCCAAGGCGCGCTTGCGCGGATGTCCGGGCTGCATCCGGGGTCTCCGGGGAGCAGGCGCCGGCACACCGCCGCCCGCGCACCCGACTCGAGCGGCTTCAGGACACGCCTGACGGGCAGGCAAGACGACGCTGGTCGCACCCCAGGGCCCGCTCCGCCCCCCCCCGAGCCGGACCGATGGGCGCCTGCGCAGGGAGGCCCCGCCCACAGCCCGGCCCCGCCCCTTCAGCGGGGAGCCTGTTCGGGCAGACGGGGGCGGGGCCGGGGACAGGGGGCGGAGCGGCATCACGTGGGTAAACACGCGCACGTGGAGCGGAGACAGAGCGCGGAGGGCCGCTGGCCCCTGGCTGCGCTCGGCCTGCGCCCGCCCGGGAGGCCGGAGGACCGCGCGCTGGGAGGCAGCGGCCGGGCGCGGGCCGCGTGAGCCCTGCGGAGCCTCAGTTGCCCCATCTGCTCAAACCCCCCTACCAGCTGGCAGACGCAGAGGTCGGGCCCGGCCCCGGGGACCCAGTCAGCCGCGACGAGCGGATGGGGCGCGCTTTCCCGCGTGTCGCAGGCGGGGAGCGCGGGGCCAGCCGCGCCGAGGGACGCGCCCAGAGCCACGTGGCAGAAGGCGCCGCGCTCACGGTCCCGGCTCCGGCAGCGGCTGCGCGCTCGGGCCGGGTCCCGCTCCCGCCCCTTGGGGCTGGTCCTGCCCAAGGGCAACCTGTGTCACCCGATTGCGCGACAGGGTGACAGCGGTGACCGCCTCCAGAGGCGGCTCGGAGGCGGCTCTCGCCCAGTCGTCGCAGCGGCTTCCGCCCGAGAGTGGGGGGGACGCAGCTGGAGGGGCCCCCGACCCCCGCCGCCGCTCGCCCGACGGCCCCTCTCTGGGACCCGCCTGTGTCCTCCCGGAGCCCCGCTTCCGCAGCGCCCCCTGCCCGGGCGGCGCCCGGGGCCCAATGGGGCCCCTTCCCTGAGCCGACCTCTCCCCGGGCCGCCTCCCTCCTCTCTCCTCCTCTTCCTCCTCCGCTTCCTCCTCCCCTTCCTCCTCCGCTCGCCGCGTGAGCTGGCGGCGCCGCACGCGGAGTTGGTGGGGTGGCGGGGTGCTCGGGGTTCATCCAAGACGTATTTCGGGCATGGGGGGGGGGCTGAGCTGCCAGCTGCACGGGGTGACGAGCGCGCCTTCCAGGCCCGTGCCGCCCGCGCTGCCCTAGGGACCACGGTCCCGGAGAGCGGACACCTGGACCCCGACCCTCGGTTGCGTTTGGGGGTTCATGGGAGCTGGTTGACGGAGTTAACCAAGCTTGGGCTTCCCGTGCAATGTGACCATGGGCCCTGAAGCCAGCCCGCTCCTGCCCATGTGCTGCTTTCTGAACCTCTTTGTATCTCACTTTCCTCTTCTCTGACACGGGGCGTGGGCGAATTAAATGACCAGAATAAGACCTGGATAGCAGCGCCCGCGCGCATGCGGGGGCTGAGAACCACCTGCCTGCAGTCTGAACCCAGTCACACCCCTGACCTCAGTTCTTCCCTCAAGATCTGTTCTATGGAATTTTCCATGCAGGTGCTTTCAAACAGAGACTTATCCTGATGCATTCGCGGAGACAGGTCAGGGCAGTGACACAGGCCTGTGTGGTGGCCGGAAGCTGAACCCTACTATTTGCCTCCTCGCAGCTCACTTCCTTACTAGCCAGCCTCGGCATGTCTCTCTCTGAAGATGCTGCTTCCTTTGCCCCACCCCCATCCCAGGACCAGTGGACACACCTGTTGGGAACCTCCCTGAGCTGCAGTGGGGTGTTGGACTCTTACTCTGCTGAAGAGTAAGACTACCCACAATGGCCTTCTGGGTGGCAAACAGAGGCCCAGGCCTGGGGCTTTGGCTAGTGAAGACCCTCCCAGTCTCTGTCCTTTTTCTTCAGAGCAGGTTGAGGGAATCGCAGCTGCTGGTCTAAGGAAGAGGAAGATGGAAGCTAAACACAGGGAGACCTAGGAGACACCAGAGAGGAGACTTGGGGGTTTGGGGTGAGGCTGACCTGAGTGGTGTGCTGTCCCCACACTTGGTGCTCCAGGTCACATGGCTCATTAGAGGTGGGCCTGGCCTACAAGCGTCTCCAGAAGGGGACTCCTGCCTCCTCTGGCCTCTCGCCTGCCCCCCTGCAATGGCCTTCCCAGCCCACAGATGACCTTGACTGTGTGTGCTCTGGACCTGTGTTGTGCATAACTATATCCCCAAGGCTGGGCATAGAGGCTCTCAGCAAACATGGATTGAAAGATGATTGGGTCATTGAAGCTCCTATGGATAATTGGGGTTTGGGGAGCCCCCAGAGTTCCCTCTCTACCACCTGCACCTGCCCTTGCATGCATGTAGCCTCTTGCCCCACATCTACTGATTATCTTACCTGAGGACTTGCCCCAACCCTCAACCCTTCCCGGGGACCATCTCATGAATGACAATAGGACCAGTCTTGGGTAGTCAAGGAAGGGATGAGTTTTCATTTTAACTCCCCCTCTGGACCCCCTCACACACATTCCAAAGGCCCAAGCACCCCAAAACACTTCCAAGAACACACTCTGAGGACATGGTTGCCCCCGCCAGCGCACCAGCAGGGGTGAGAATGTGCAGGAGGAGAGGATGCAGGCGGGGAGCTTCCCGAAATGTGCAGCAGCACATCTGCCCAGAGAAAAAGGGAGGCCCAGAACCGCAAGCTTTGGTATTTTTACTTGGTGGTGTGAGGGGCCATCTGTGCAGGTTGGCGCTTGTCTGGAGGAAACCAGGATTTGGAGATGAAATTCAAATGTGGGAGTACTTTGCAGGCTGTCAGGCTGAGACTTTCTCCAGGAGCTGCGGCTGCCATGCTGGTACTTTAGTAGCAGCAGCGTGTACAAGGGGCCAGCAGCTGTTCAGGGCGAGTGAGCACACGGGGCCTCCTGCCAGAGCCTCGTCCAGCTCCTCAGCAAGAGTCTTCTCAGCCCTGGCTCCACCAAGGGTGCCAGGAAGGGCCTGTACCACCAGCTGTGCAAATTGGCCCCCACTGCCTGGGACGAGGAGGGCTGGAGGGTAGAGTCCGGGGAGGGGGGGTGGGGTGGCAGTGCCACAGAGTGAGTGTGGGAGAAGCTCAGACCCCTCCATCATCACCATTGTTTTCTCCCAAACTACCTTGACAAACTAGCAGTCGCAGTCCATCCTCAGATGTGCCTTTGGTCCCCACTTTCAGCTGCAGGTCACCCTCAAGGCCCCTGCATAGAAATTATAGAACAGCCCTGTCTGAGCTGAATCTCTCTAGGGTCTTCCCACACACCAAGGCTACCTGGGTGAGGAGCGCATGTCACTGTGAAGTGGGGGCATAAGGGTCCTCGAAGCCCCATTGGAAAGGCCTTTTTGGGGTATCCCAGGTGACAGTCCTGCACGGGGCCCGAATTTTAACTGACAGTTGTCCCCAGCTTGTGTGGCACCCGACACATCCCGTGCTAATGGAGATTGTGTTCCAACAGTAGCATAGGTGTCAGGTGTGCACATTTGTCTCCGTCACTTGCACCAGGAACACTGTTTATCGCTGGAGGCTTTCCTTAAGCCCATCTCCTGGGTCAGATGTGGAGCTGCCCCAGGTGGAGGGACACGGGGGAGGGGAGGAGAGGACACTGAGGATTGGCACATTAAATTTGGGAACTCTGGTGCCATTCCTAATATATTCTGCTGGGTTCCGGGATGGGAGGAGGATGACAGATGTGGGCAAATGATCCGTGACTCCTGCAGACGTGTGCCCCCAACACACATACCCTTTTCTGACTTATGCCAAATAATAAAATCTAAAAATAGCAGGCAGGGATTGTGGGAAGAAAGCATTTCTTCAAAAAGAACCCTTAGGTAAAGAATGTGATTTCAGGTACACCAAGAGGGGTCCTTGGCTCTGAAATACTGCTACACACACACACACACAAACTCTCTCTCTCTCTCTCTCCGCCCAAACAGAGGCTGCATCACCCATGTCA